AAGAATACGAGTAACTCCCCAATTGGATCAAGGAGTCAAAAGTTATGGTGTCTCAAAGTTGGAGGTTTTTAGACACAAGTTAGGCAACTTGCCCAAGTTTCTAAGGCACCACAAGTCATGTTTTTTCTCAACTTGCAAGCTATATTTTTCATGTTTCTAAGCTTGAAATAAAAATTCTTCAAACATAAAATTTGTTCTCCTCTATCTTAGCTTTTCAAGAATGTGTAGAAGTTTTCCATTGGAGTTCTATAGCTTAAGCTATGATATGATGAACATAGGTGTCAAGACTTGAAAACAACTTGACCAAGGCATGACTAGGTCATGCGTGCCAACTTTAGGTCAATGTGTTGGACCAAATTTCATGCCTATTTTTCTTTATGTTCCAAGCCTCGTCTCAAGGATTGTTGAACATCAAAGTTGTTCACCCATGTGCCCTCTTTCCAAAGAGCTTGAAACCTTACCAATTGGGCCAAGAACTATTGAGCTAGAGTGTACCAAAGTCACCACCATAGACGTGTTCTCACCTTGCCTTACCATGTCGTGACCAATGTTTTGCTCCAAACCATACCAATATTTCTCAGCATCCAAGACCTGATTTCTTGTGCACAAAACTTGTCAATTGTGGAGCTTTAAACTTGCCATTTAAGGTCCTACCAATTGTGACATATTAGGGCATGTTTTGACATGAGCTATGGACTAATATGCAAACTACTTCACATGCCACAACACCTTGGTTTTTCGTTTCCCTCCTGGTCCAATAACCTGAGCATAAGTGATCAATGGTTTTTATATGTTATTTTACCATTTGTTTCTGTTAATCATTTGTTATATCTTGTTGCATTTTATTTGTTTTTATTGCATTTTACGCGTTGGTTTGGTGTTGTCACTATTTCTAGGTTCAGGTAAACAATAAAGGCGAATCAAAGCAAAAACCGAGGAAAATAGCAAGAAGTTAGAAGAGCTTTGAATTGGACCAAGAGCCTGACACGACCGCCCATGTCATGTGACACAGCCCGTGTCAGGATGTGCTCAGGAAAGATGATTTTTGGGGGAAACCAGGGGCCTGACACGGCCGCCCGTGTCACATGACACGACCCATGTCAGGACTACTGGGACTTGGAAATTTCACGTGAAAAATGTATCAGGAAGCCAACACGGCCGCCCGTGTTGTCTGACACGGCCCGTGTTAGTTGCAACGCCTCAGTACCTATTTTTCTTGTATTTTTGACACTTATGATCCATGAGGGTATTTTGGCCATTTCCCTGGTGCTGAATTTGAATTGAAACTATTTGATACGTGCTTGGAGAATGTAAAAGGGATTTTTGGAACAGAAGAGAAATTTCACGATAAAGATTGTAGCGGTCAAGGATTTGGGAACAGGAGATCCTCATGAGCGGAAGCGATTGAAGATCAAAGCAACCAATTCTCTTGTAATGTTGAATTTTATTGTTGACTTTAGTTTTATTATTATGAGTATCTAAACCCCCCAATGCTAGGGGGTGTCTCTGAGTTGACTCTGTAATAACCTTTGGTTTCTTGAATTATATATTTCGCTGCTTTCTAATCATCGTTGTTATCGTATAATGTTTTACAGCTTTTCTTATTTGAAAAATGGGAATATGATTTACGGTTAACCTTAGGTTTGGAAAAACAATTGTTAACGCGTTTATACGATAATACTATAATAGATATTGCCTAGGAATGGGGATACCCTATAGTAACCGTAATGTTTTAGATAAAACATTTTGCTTGGTATTGTTCCTATACCGCCAAGGAATTGGGGCATAGGGAGAATACCAAAGGGTTTTCTACTAAGGAATTAGAGTAAACTAATCTTTAAAACCGGTAACGATTGAATTGAGCAGTGATTTCTAAAACTTTAGGATTAAGGTTATTACAAGACTTTTCATACATCCTACCCTAGCATGCTTCTCATAACTGTCCAAAACCTTTATTTTACTGCTTTTGCCTTCTGGCTTGATAACTCTAAAGAAACAAACCAAAATCATATGACTTTTTGTTCAATTGCATTATTATAAAACTTGTATTTACACGCAGTCCTCAGAGATCTATATTCGGGAAATTTTTTCTTATTACTACATCGGTAAAAAATAGTACACTTGCTATTTCACCGGTCAATAAGCGATCCCAAATCACTTAGCTCAAGGTTTGAAATATAGTCAGCTTATATGTTATACCATGATACGACCTTTTCTTCATCTTTTGGACAAAAGAGAGAATCGAGTTTTTCTTAACTAAAAAAGGTACTTCTTACAAAGTTCAAGAAGATCAGAAACATACACAGATAATACAATAAAAATATGGGCAAAGAACTTAGAAAGGGACCAAGAACTCTTGCTTGCAAACAAATCTCATAATCATATGTTTTTGGAAAAACTCATCAAAAGATATTTTCTAACCACATGAACTTAAAACAAAGTCCATAAAACTTCATTAAACATCAACTCAAGGACATCCCAACCATAAAACAATAGTTGTAACACCTCCATCATCATTCACCATTTTTAAACCTCATTTCACATCAAGGTTCGGGTTTGAAGAAAGAAGGTATTTCCAACCAAAGTACCCATTCATTCTTACTCTCTAGGACTAAGGAGGCTGAGCAACTTCACTTTCCACAACTGTAAGACTATTTTAAAGGACTTTGGGCTCTCTCCAAGAGGTAAACGTCTCTCCTCATTGTCCTATAAACTTAACATCATTATGAAACAAGCTCCATTTTATTTGATTAAGTCAAATCTTCAACTCTTTGGTGATGAAAGTTCTTCTTCTCTTACGGTTTCGCTCAAACTCTTCTCCTTTTACTCAATTAACACATTAAAATTTCTCTTCACCATTTTATAAAATTAAGTCTTTATCATATTTCCTTTATTTACACTAATTCCCTTATTTATTTATAATCTCAATTATTTATCCTTTTAATTAAAAATAATTATCGACTACAGAATTCTATTATATATATATATATATATATATATATATATATATATATATATATATATATATATATATATATATATATATATATATATATATATATATATATAATTCTATTTTTATTTAATAAACCCTCATTAGTAATATCAATTAATTTACACAATACCCCAAAAATTCGAATAAATATTTAATAAAATTTTATTAATTCTAATAGAAATTTTAGGGTGTTACAAGAAGGAGCATGTGTGTTTAACAAGCTTCGTATGAGGTTAGGATCCTATCAGATTGAGGTGAAGGCTGAATATATTTCTAAGACTACATTCAAAACATGTTATGACCATTATGAGTTTACAGTTATGTCGTTTGATGTGACAAATATTTATGTTGATTCAAGTTAATTTGAGACCCTATTTGAGTTAATTAAAAATTCATATTTTATTATATTAAAATAAATATTTCACAACTCATGCTTTATAAAAATAGAAATTTGGAGTGTTTGGATGTCAAGGCTCTAGAATCGGTGTCAATACAAGATCCAAGACATAATAGAATTTCAAGACAGTGAATAGAAAGATCAATTTGTCTTGCCAGCGAGTAAAATTTGTCACATCGAAATGCTCCAATTTCACAAGATTTTGGTTCATCATTTTGATGTTTGAAACGGAAGCGTTGATTTTCATTATTTGAGATACTATTAGACTATTACAAAATAAATATAAGTTAAATGGATCAAGGCTAGAACCGTGCATATGAAGATTTTTTTAATAGTATTTCAAACACTCTCTAATTTGTCTTAAAGTATACACGCATAAATACTTAAAATAATTCAGTCTATTTTAAATTTGCAAAAGACAAATGAAAATTCAAATGTAAATAAAAAAGAGATAAGAAAGAAATGTAAAATTTAGCAATGAAGAGGAGTGTTCAAATCATGTGTTCTTCTCTAAATTTGAAAGAGTCTATTTATAGACTAAAAGAGGTTGTTTCACAATATTACAACCCTTAAAAAACACACGATTTCATCAAAGTATTGCAACTCTTCTCACAAAGTGTTTAACTCTCGTTAATAAGTATTACAACTATTTGAATTCACCCCTTTCACCAAGTATATCAACTCTTTCTACTAAATATTAGAACTTTTTCTACACATTGAAGACTCACTTGCTCACTTACAAGGTGTCATGTAATTTATTGAAATATAACAATAATTGATATGGAATTTAATAGAATAATTTATCATTAACAATAATCATGTATTTAATTAACCTTTTCATTAACTAATAATTAATAATTCTATTCTATTGTACTATGTTTATATTATGAATAAGAAAATAAAACATAGGGAGAGATATTAGGGTGCAGTTATACCTAAACAAGAGAGATTAATTAATTACAGAGAAACAAAAAGATGAAACACCCAATTCAAAAAAGTGATTATAATTAAAAAGCTTCCACATAAATCCTCACTTCCACTGACACTGCATTTTCTCTTCAAACACATAGCCTGTTTGCCGCAGCCTCTCTGCCAAACAACTCTTACTACATGAAAAAAGAAACTCTTGAGATTTTTCATGCATTTTAATTATTTTTATTTATTTATTTTCCCTATGTTTTTATTCTCTTATTAGACACAAAATACAAATGCCAACGTTGATAGGTTTTTTAGCATTGGGATCTATTTTAATGAATATTTTTTCACGTTTTTTGGAGCATTCTCTATAGGTATGACTCCCATAAACGGCATGACAGAGATACCAGCATTTGTTTCAGCACACACAACAGTTAAATTATCTTCACAATAGAAACTATTACACTCTTCAAAATCAATTATTTTTTAATCATCTCAAAACTTAAATACTGTCCTCAGAAAAGTTATAAAATATTAATTCTATAGAATGTAACACTTGTTAGGGTTTAAAACCCAGAAACACAGTAACAATAACAGTAACTATAATAAACCTAGGAAAACAATAACAATAACAATAATAATAAACTAGTTTTGTTTTTTTTAGGTATTTTGTAAGTACTGTATTAGTAGTGTTCAAAGCTTCAAAGATAAATCAATGGAATCATAAGCATTTGAAGAATCTCCACCATAGGGTGTAGTATTAACAGTGATAGATGAAGAAGAAGAAGCTTCACCAAACCCAAAATCAATGGTTGGAAATTCTTGCTCCTTGGAAACTGTGTCTCTTTCATCTTTTCTTGGGAAAAACTCATATTCCATGAAAACTTTGCTGTTTCCTGATGAAGAATTTCCTCTTCTATGTACAGCAACAACCTCAACACTCTTAACAACACAAAAAATAACCCTATCAATTTCTTAACTATATCATCAATGAAATAAACAAATGTTAAATTAAATTATTATAAATTAGAATTTATCTACCTCATCATGCTTGAATAGTAGTTTGTTATGGAAATCATGAACATGATTAGACCATATTGAAGCACTCATTACGTTTTCTTCTTCGTTCAAACGTGTTTTCTAAAATAACAAACTCGGATTAATACATAAGATATTAATTAAAATGAACACAAAAAATAGTGAAGATCATTGAAATAGTACCTTGAGATTTTGCATTGAAGAGAGATCTTTAGAGGGTTCAAGAGGGTTTCTTAGAAGCGACGATCCAGATCCAAGATGATTTATTTCTTTGTTGTTATGTTGATTATTAGGTAAAAACCAACCTGAAGCAACGTTAGAACATGTTCCAATACCAAACCCATTTTTGTAAGGACCAAAAGCAGAAGCACCGACAATAGTACTATTGTTGTTGTTTTGGTTGATCATCATTTGTTGTTGAGGAAACTGAAATGGAACATTTGATGATAATGCACCATACCTCAAAAGAGCTTGTTGTTGTTGCTGATGATATTGTTGGTGATGATGATGATCGACGTGGTATACTCCAGAAGCTTCAGCCATTTTTTTGAGTGCTTCTTCAGCTCTCAATCTCTCTAACTGTTCAACACCTAAACCTCTTTGAGGTGGTTTCTTAGGACCTTTGGTTTTTCTACTTTTGCTTCTTCCACCAACTTCACCATAAAGGGGTGATTTCATTGTTTCATTTTCAGAAGCCATTGCAAGGGTTTGGAGGTTAAAGTGAAAAGGAGAAAAAGGGTGTGTGGTAAAAGTTGTGAGAAAGTGTATATATATAGTGAGAGTGAGAGTTTTAATTTGATGAAGTGAAAGGATATGCAGAAAGTGTTTGTGTGAAATGGTGAAAGGACATTTTGGTATACGTGTGTGATGCTTTTGGGGGGTCTTGTGCTTTTGGTGACTCTGTCTTCTTCTTCTTTCCTTTCTGTCTTTTGCTACTTCTACACAAACCTCATTTTTTGTCTTTTACTTCAAACCATTTTAAGGTTTTTTTTATAAAAAAAAAAAATCTTATCACATGTTAACACATACTCTACGTGTGTTTATCAATAATTTTAGGATTTGAATTCTTTGCATTTTCAGGCCAATATTGTTTCATCTAGATATTTTTGTGTAGATGATGATTTTAAATTGTGGTTGCGGTTGCAGATTAAGTTGTAATTACAAGTGTTGCGATTGCGCTTACTACTGTTATGCGTATTGCGTTTATTGCAAGGTAAATTTTAATTGAGTTGGGCTTGAAATGTCCTGGTCGCAGATACTATTGTCGATAGAGTTATGTTATCGTGGTTGTCACTTAAAAATAAACATAATCTTAAGTGGTGTTTTTATGACCGGCTAAAATGTCTTTTTTATTTTTTGTAATCTTGTCAGCAGGGGTTGGTGCTATTTACACGGATTTTTGTGTATTGGGTAGGAGTATCCTTAGTACTCTCAACTTTTATATATTTTGAATGTTTGATTATAAAAATAAAAAAACAATTTAAGTTAACAAAATCTTTATCAAGATTTTAAAAAATAGTTTGTGATCCCAAACCGGTTGCGAGAAAATGATATCAACAAGGATTGATACCGACACACTTATTAACTGTTTTCATGTTAAAAAATAAATTGTCATTAATTCATCTCCGACAATTACAATCACAACTGCAACATCTGTAATACCAAAATCATGAAACTATCAAATCTTGATTTTTATCAACTTTGTTTGCTTATATGTCTAGGAAGAAATTAATGTTTTTTTTTTTAATTTTTTATTTATAATTCTTAATAATATTTTTTAAAATAAATTTGACCATGCTAGATTGAACTACTCATATTTTATACATTTAACAAAGAATATCAACTATCAAATTTTATTGATGTCAAGATCATCATCCCTAAACCTAAAATGACTACAGAATCCAAATTCATATGACTTTATTGTAATTTGTATCACTAGCTTGAACTTGATTTATCAAAGTAGAAATTATAAGGTCAATAAACTTTGATGAGACAAAAATTACACGCTAAATGCATCATCCTTAACCAGAGTGAACCTGTAACTTTCACAAGTATTGCATTTTTCATTAACTAATAAACATATTTTTATCATAAAAATTACTTAGAATAGGATGTAAAATAAAATAAAAATTCCAAAAATCTTTTAAAAAATAAAAAAAATTGGTCTCAATTTTGATTGGATAAATGAGTACATATTATGAGGTTGTACTCACGTGACACGTGGCATAATGTGGTAGTTGTGGACCAATGTAACAGCCATGGTCGGAAAATCAGGGCATATATTATTACCTCCTTTACTAGCTAGCTAGGTTATAGTAAATTCAGCCTTTGTAAGAGAAGAAGATACAACATAGTTTCAGCCAAATTAGCAACAAATCATTTTTCTTTACCATCTTCATTTGAACAAAATGTATGTTTCAATATTGATATCAGTATCATCCTCTCTCGAAACCATTTTGTTGCGGTGGATTTTGCGACTATTTTTTAAAACTCTGGTAATGATCATGTGATGAAGTAGGGATATGAAATCTGGGCACAAGATAAGTAGCAGTGAGAATGGTTTGGTATAAATGATTTTGAAAACGGTTTTGTGCAATCATAAGGAGTGAGATTTGAAATAATATAAGAATCTTCCTATGGCATAGCCTTGTAATGATGCCTTTCTTTTCCACCTTCTTATTTGGCAAACGAAAATAAAAGATGAACCCATGTGGTGCCTTCAAATTTGGCAATATATTTTTTCCATTACTTTTTCTCTTCCATTCTTCACAATGTAAAATATATCGGTTCGATTTGAAAAAAATATCTTATATGTTTTGGAATTCTAAACTAATATATAAAATATATAATTTAATTTGATTTTGGATAAATTGAAACAATCTGTTTAAATTTGAATGATATTTTACGATAATTTAATTTGATTCGATTGAATTTTTTGACTCATCGGTTACGATTGTTGGTTATTTAATGTTTTTTCTTAATGGAAAATTTTGTTGATTTAGTGTTTAATTTTAGTAACATGAATTTCATATAGAAAAACCATAGATGTTACATTATTCATTTTACCATAACTAACTAAATACAGATCAGAAATATTGCTATTTTTTCTCCTTTGTTATGATTTTTTCTGTTTAAATAGTTGTGAATTTATCCAGAATTGAAAATTGATGTAAACAGTGTGTCCCTTTCACCATAATTTTTTCTTGATAAAATCTTTTACCATATCATTTCATAACCGCCCTATAATCCCTAACACAACCTTATCTAAAATAAATCACTTTATCATTAATTCTTCATTTTTTTTAAATTTTAATTATAAAGTGATTAGAGTAATAATAATAGGATTAGGATGATATAATAGGAATGAAAGAAACAAGGAAGGACTACAATACGTATGCGCGCCGCTTCTGCTATGGAATAGGTGGGGCCCACAGTGGTCCCCTTACTATGTGTCAGGGCAGGTAGAGTTTCAGAATATGGGCGGCTCAGCTCAGCTCATGAGAGAGATTGCCACGTGTCATTATGGGATTCGTTGTCTAAGAGAGAGAGAGAGAGAGAGAGAGAGAGAGAGAGAGAGAGGAGACGGGAGAGATTTTGTGTTGCTTGGATTGAGCAGACATGGGTGGATTCTTGGGTTTTATGATCCTTTCATTTTGCATTTGAGATGAATAAAAAATTCTCCTGTGTTTGTGTGTTTTACTTGGAAAGTGGAGGGACCACTTTACAGATTATGTTTTTTTAATAATGAAATTCAACTAAGGAAAACATAACACATTAACACCAATCAAAGACTATTAATCAACACTACACATGTAAATCTTTGTAACAAAAATTGAATAAAAGAAATTCACCTAACTTCCTAAACAACTAAAATGGTGAGTCCACTATTAAGGGAAATTTTTAATAGTGTTTGAGCCCTAACCATGAGGTTAATTTAATGTTTTCCGCCAAATTTTTAAAATAACTAACTTTTTTTTTTATTGAATAGGGTAGAATTTCTCAACTTTTAAATAGACCAAAAAATTATTATAATGGGTTACCGCCATATTAAGTAATAAAAGAATACAACAAAAATAATTTTGTAATCGATTACAGATTTTGTGTAACTTTTTACCGCATTGTTTAATAGCAAAAAATATCAAACAGAACCAATTTGTAATTGGTTACAAGTTTGATGTAACCTGTTAGCACTACTTTTGTCAAAACCAAATAGAAGCGACATGTAATTGGTTAAAGGTTTAGTATAATCGGTTATCACCTTTGCCATAATCAGACAATAGCTTTGTGAAATCGGTTACAACTTTTATATAACTGATTACATGTTCGAAAATTTTGTTTTTTCTATTAGTTGATTAAATATACAATTGTGTATTGATTTACAAATACCCTAATCTGGATTGTTAATAAAATGCTACTATTTTCCACCTGATTCTCTCTAATTAATTCACTCTCTACATTTTCACACTTGTTCATCATTATTCTCTTGTGATTATGTTTTTCTCAGACATTTGGAATCAAGAGCCTGGTTCTTTGACCAAAACTTAGTGTGCAAAAATGCTTTCCATCTCCAATGAATGTATCCCTAAAAATGCAAATAAATGAAGGTGATGTTTGATTATCAAGATGTTTTTGGAGTGATTAAGAATGATGTTAATACATTTGTAGAAGGTGTAATGTTCGCATAAATAACTACACATAAGGAAGAGAAGATGAAAGATTTCAAAACTTCGTATCTCATTCATCAATGTGTTGATACTGATAACTTTGAGAAGATTGGTGATTGCAAATATTCAAAGGAGGCTTGAGAAATTCTAAAGCAAAGTTATGCAGGAGCTGATAAAATAAAGGGGTGAGGTTACAAACTTGCAAGAGGCAGCTGAAATTAATTAAGATGGAAGAAAAGGAAACCATTAGAATTTACTACAATAATCACAATATCGGTGACTCAAGTGAAAGCATATAGATAGACAATAATTGAGCAGAATGTGGTTGGTATTATCTTGAGATCTTCAACATCAATATTTAATAACGTAGTGGTTGCAATTGAAGAGATCAAGGATCTTTCAACCATGAGAAAAGAAGATTTGAAAAGTTCTCTTGAGGCTCATGAGTAGAGAATGGAGGAAAGGAATGTTGACAAAGCAAAGACTAAAATTGCTTTGCAGACCCATTTCATTAGAAAAGACAAGAAGGTGAGGGAAAGTGGTCCATGAATAAAGGTATAGAAAACTATCAAAATAATAGTGGAAGAGACTCTCAAAATTCCAACAATTCAACGTTCCAAAAAGGGTGGAAGCAGCTGCAACAGATATGGTAGATCAAACAATTACAAAGGTGGCAACAATAGAGAAATATGAGGAAGAAGGAAAGATGAGAAGAGAAATGTCCCATGTTATAGTTTTCAAAATATTGGACAATTTGCTTGTGAATATAATGCCCACAAGATCCACTAGAAGTTGAAGTAAAGTTTGAAAGGCAAGAGTATGATAAGAGCACATTGTTGATGGTGATCTTTGAAGCAGAAAATAGCTCATGAGGCAACTGTAACCGATTTCATACATGATGTAATCGACTATCATCGATTGAAAATGTGTGGTAACTATACAAGAAGATGTTGAAAGTGATTGTTCAAGAAACACAAGAAAGGGGGAGATTGAATTGGATTTCAAATATGACAGATTTTTGCGACCCAAATAAAA